ACCTCTGCAAAGTATGTGGAGTTTCTGACTGATCACTTTCTTCCATGGTAGAAAGAGAAGAACTGTGCCTTCTGCAACACAACCATCTTTATGCAAGACAATGCACCATCTCATGCTACAAGGAATACCTCTGCATCATTGGCTGCTATCAGCGTAAAAGGAGAGGAACTCATGGTGTGGTCCCCATCCTGACTTCAATCCTACTGAGAACCTTTGGAGCATCCTCAAGCAAAAAAATATGAGGGTGGGAGGCAGTTCACATCCAAAGAGCAGCTCTGGGAGGCTATTCTGACATCCTGCAAAGACATTCAAGTAGAAACTTTCCAAAAACTTCCACTGCTGCAAGAATTGTAAACCTGCTATCAAATAAGTGGTCCTATGTCAATATGTAACTTGACCTGTTAAGATGTTTTTGATTGAAATAGCTTTTGATTTCAATGAAATTGATCTACTAATGCTGCAAATTCAACAAATGACCATTTTCAATTCTCTACAACCCATAAAATCTTTTGAAACTCTGTGTGCGTAATAATTTGGAACAGTGCATTTTAAGTGTTTTTATTTTTGAAAAACATACTGTTTTCATTGGGAGTTTTGTTCAGTAACATTTGAATTATACTCTATTGGTCGATGACTCGAAAATTATGCCGACTGTCACTTGAAACGACTATTTAGGAAAAACAGAAAATATAATTTGCATAATAATTTGGAACGTGCTGGTTACACTTAAGAACAGTAAGGTCAGATTAGACTTTGCTAGAAAACAACTCAAAGAGCATGTTTCTGGAAAAAAACAACAACAGTTTCTCTGAGATTAACTAGCGGAGAAGCAGCTCATGATCGGAGGCATACCAGATCGTCTGTCAAATAGATGCTTGTCATTATACTCTCTGCTTCACGGTGAAATGTTTAAGTCTCTTAAACTGTAGTGTGTAGAAGGTGTTATAGTAGATACTTATATTAAATGTGGCTGACTTGGGGTTTAAGTAAAGCTGCAGTTCACACACACTTATTACACAATATTCAAAAGAAATGTAGGAACACCCACGTGAGCCAGCCACCTTTGGAAGGGTATGTACTTTATCACCATGTCAGTTGTTAGGATACCATGATGACAGCTGCTGAAGTGATCCTGGCGTTTGCTAAATTATCCTTGAATGGTTGGCTGTTGATGAACAGGTACTCATGTGTCAGCAGCAGTTGAAAGGGAAATAACTGTGGTTTATAAGGAATAATGATGTAGAATTTAAGAAGTGTAGAGTAACACGTAAAATTAGACCGCAGTTGTCAGGAATTGATTCAGAGATCGTCCATCACAGTAGGGGGCTATTATTTCAGAATTATGGCTCTGCAAGATACTGTGTTGAACAGAGGATTTTTGCATTATATGGTAACATGGTAACTGTACACTTGTGTGGTTGGTTGTAGTCCAGGCTCTAACTGCCCCCTCATTATAATAATCCTTCCGTAACATGGGGATTTTTCTCTCTCTCTCCAGCTGTTGACTGCTGGAATTGGCACCACTTTTAGACTGTGTGTGACGCTTCTGTTGTTGTAACAAAATCAGTGACAATCACTACTGAGATCTGAGTGCTGAGGAACTGAGATCTAGACCAAACAAATCTGTGTTCTTTGTTTGTTTTTTTCTTTATCAACGAAACTATCCAAGCTCTCACATGCGAGGCAAGGCAATGGGAAAATGCTCTTTTTTTATTTCTAATTTACCTATTTTTTCCTGCCAAGTTCTTTCT